CTAATTTCCATGAGCCATTGCTTAGTTATGATATCAATACCACCACGTCATCAACCGTCACAGCAGCATTGTATGACGGAAACGAATCATAATGCAACGGAAGTTATTGCATATTCATAACTTCCGTTCGCCTCAAAATGTAAACAAAGAAATGATATAAAAGAGCGACGCATCCATATTTTTTTTATTCGTTTATAATGGTAAAAAAAAACAGGATAAATCCCAATTACATTTTTCACCTAGTGGTTTGATCATGATTTATGTTGATTGATGATGATTTATTAAGGAAAAAAAAAAAAAAAAAAAAAAAATTGAATTAAACATATTTTCTTGTATAAAAAGAGAATTAAAATTTGTATTTAAATTTGCGCTCGAACTCCATCTAACTGGCATATTGACAGTTTTTTTCATGTTTGTAGGATTTTCCGTGGCATATCCATAAAGAGCCATCGGGGATAAACAGGATGGTGCATGGTGTGTTTTGCTTGCATGGTGGGTTTTGCTTGCAGTTGACATGGTATTTGACCTGAATTGCGGGGTAAAGATCGGTCCCATCGACTTTCACCATCAAATCCATGTTTTCAACAAAACCGTTGTTGTTCTTCATGACCTTTGTTTTGAAAAATGATGGCTTCATCGTTGTCGAAGTGATGAAAAGAAAATTGTTGCAAACGATGCTGCTATTTTCTTTTTCAAGGTTGATTCGTTCGTATGCTGTTTTGCGTCTCAATATCACGATATCATCTTTCTTGTTTTCTACCTCTGCCAATGTATCAATGTAATGGCTTATGATGCGCATTTCACTCTCACATTTTGTCGCTCGAAGCTGCTCTTTTCGAATTGCGTAATATTGCAGCACACCTGCAAATGTAGGCTTTGTGAAAACTAAATTGAAACATAAGAAACGAACAAAAAAAATAATGGAATAATAAATGAAATACAAATTCAGATTGATTGCTATTGGTAAACAAATTATTTTCAACTATTCATTGAGAAAAATATCGGTAAAATCAATTTTTGGAAGAGTTTCGAATTTGTTATAACAAGTAACATTTATGTAACGCTTAAACCCAACTTTTCAGTGAAAAAATGTAACGCTTTAACCCAAATATAGGGTCAAATATGAGCGTAGGAAACCCAGTTTTCCCCTCGATATTGGGTATATCTTGGTTTTGTACAATACCATGTTAAACCCACGGAATACCTGGGCACGTGTATTCCTTGGGTGTAACATGGTTGTAAAACCAAGATATATCCAATATCGGGGGAAGCTATATAGGTTACCCATATGGGTTTAAATCCAAAAGTATTTTCATAAACTATATGTAGTTTAAAAATAGGGGGAGTATGTGTAAGTTGACCCACTTTGTAAGTTGACCCACCCCGCCGATTTTGTATTTTGACCGACAAATCGTCAATTTGGCTAGTCCCAATCGATTTAGGAACGTCAAAAACCAATATAAAAGTAGTTCCCAAGAGTGAATACGCTTCTTAAACGACTCGGATCGGCTCATGAAAAAATTTTGCGAAAAAGATCATTTTTATAAAAACTAAATTTTTTCGGACCATCATCAAGTAGACAATTTCAAAGATATCAGCAAAGCGAGTATAAGCTTTCTTTGCTAGTTTTTCGTGTATTTTCATAATCCGAAGTCATTTCACACATATCATTACATGGCGAAATTCTTTCCGAGCATATTGAAATGTCGACCAATTTTGTAAGTTGACCCACCCGAAAAAAAATCAGAAAAATGAGACAACTATTCAGCGTAAACACTCAATATACGAGATTCATTGAATTTTAATAATTTTCCAATCGTTTTCGGATTTTAAAAACACGAAAAAATCGATGAAATATGAAAAAATTGAGAATAGTATGTATTTTCTTACTATTTGAACGCATGAGAATATTCTTGACCTGCGAAAAAAAGTTCGTTCCGAAATGCCTCATACATTCGTATAGCAACAAAAGAGACTCAAGAAAAAAGTGAGCATAAAAGTGTCCCATGATTATGGGGCACTTTTATTCTCACTTTATTCATGGGACTCTTTTATGCAATACAAATGTATGAGGCGCTTTAGTTGTGCATTTTGACTTGAGGCTTTTTTATGATAATTTTGATAAAAAGGAATGCGAATTTCGATGTGGCGATAGCACCAATGGATTGGGCACAATACATACTGTATCAAAATCGAAAAAAAATTTCAACTTTTTTTCGATTTACGGCTGTATTGCGACCGGCAACATGGGAAGTTGGTATGAAAACCTCGGAGCGCCGCTGCTATTGCATTGGCTTCTATGGCCAAATGTACACATGGAAATATCTTGAAAACGGCTGGGTTAATCGGCAAAACGGACCGTGATGTCACTCCCGAAGGGAGTGTAAACACCCGGCTGGTTTGACGGCCTAGAATACAAATCCGGTGGAATTTGGGCTGATCCATGGATTCTCGGGATTCGACCTGATTCTAGCACTTCAATTTCTTTCATAACAAAACATAGGTAGAATGTGTTTACGGATGCACATAAAAAAGGAAGCACTGGAATCTGGTCAAATCCTGAGAATCCATGGATCAGCTGAAATTTCACCGGATTTGTATTATAGGCCATCAAACCAGCCAGGTGTCTACACTCCCTTTAGGGAGTGACATCACGGTCCGTTTTGCCGATTTACCCAGCCGTTTTTGAGATGTTTCCATGTGCAAACTTTAATAATATTATATTCAATTGCATTGGCCTATATGGAAAAAAACTCGAGCGTCGAAAACTTATGCTATTTCGCTCACACTTATGTGCAATTTTCAAGTGTATTATAATCGGTTGTTCGACGAACAACACAGTTGCTTGCTGGTCCGATGCT